TGTATTTGAATTGATCACCGTTTAACAATACTAATTTATATTTTCATCAATATTTTATAGTCAAATAATATTCGAGAGAAAAAGTGTGATAGACGCGTTGAGACTGACTTTAGAATCGTGTGCGACACCTATTCGATCCTTTGTTATGACGAAATGTTTCCATGACGAATCGTTACAATTATTACTCCGTGTACATTATTGTTTTATGTGTCATCAACTGCAAACATCATACTAACAAGCGAGCCACTTCAATAAAAAAAAATAAACGTCAAAATACCCATGGTCCGCTTAGCTACATACAACTTCTGAGAATCGAGGTGTTATACAGTTCGTGTCAGTGATTGTACTCATTTTTTACACAGTAGAAAATAAGTTCATTACGCCTTCATTGCAGAAGTAAGACTGCGGCATCTATGTGTACGTATTTACAACGCGAGTTACACAACTATTACTCTCTACTATTTACTAATCAAATAATTGTATTCAATGATGCTGTAGTTGATAATCTTTATTACATCATGCTTCTTGGAATAAGTTTCTGGAGTCGATTACCCGCATAGCCATATCAGGAAGTTACTTTTCCAAGACCAGTTAGGATCCAAGTTTTAGGCTGTACCGCATAGATAGATATAAGAGTACATTGCGCTATCTTTCATATTATGCCCAATGAAGTAATAAATGACTAATATTTATAATTTAATATTATCATCGTCATTATATCTGCCGTTAAATGCCCACTGCTGAATATAGGGCTGCCCCATAAGGGGGGTTTTGCCAATAGTTGCCATGCCATTGGCAGACGGGTTGGTAACCGCAGTTATATTTTTGGTAATGTTTTAAGCGGGACGCTGCTGCCTAGCTTTCGACCATTTAATTCCTTCAGTTGCTTCTTACGACACCCACAGAAAATAAAAGGGGATTTAAGATTTTTGCTTTCCAAAAAAGAAACTTCAATATATCAATAATGGTAATAGTTAATATAAAATCAACATGGGAATAAACCCTATAATCCTCCTTTTTGAAGTCACATCAGTCAGAAAAAAAAAACGTGAAGTAAAATATAAAACTATTTCTTGTCTTTTCGGAATTGTAATAATGCAAACACTTTGATAGGAACTTAAAAATCATTCTAATAAACCGATATGAAAAAGACTAACTAAAATATGTTGATATACCGTGTAGCACCTTACAAAATTGTTTTGTAAGGTGTTATATTATAATCGTACGGTGTTACGTGTTAATGTTGACGTGTATCTCGTGATTATAAATGAATTCATTACACATCTCTTGCTCAATCGAATGTTTGTCGATTTCTCTGTTTATGTGCCTTCCTCAATTGGTTGGAACTTTTACGGAAATAATTCTAAGAGAAAGAAAGCATAAGATCTTTTTTTTGTAATCTTATTAATATTGTAAATGCTAATGTTTGTAAGGATGTATAGATGTTTGTTACTCTTTCATGCAAAAACTACTTAAGGGACTTGAATGAAATTTGGTGCACGGGCAGGTTATATCCTACCTTAGTGTGAGTATATAGGATCACGAGAGCAAAGCTGCGCGATATAGCTAATAACTACTAATTGTAATATTATTGTATTTTGTTTTATTCTGTGTTTACTTCTTGACGCTTTAATGGCTCACTGTCATAAAATTTAGTACAGACGTATAGCTTATATATATATATATATATATATATATATATATATATATATATATATATATATATATATATATATATATTTTATTTTAATGTATTTCTATGTATATACATAATTTAATATGTATTAAAAATATGTTAAATGTATTAATTATAATTCTATAAAGATGTTCTCATATTACGCCGAGCACTACTGCTAACAAAATGTGAATGCACTTTCGTTAACTTCGAGCTGACCCAGAAAATCATACGAGCTCGTACGTAACCTTGATTTACAAGAGTTAAAACTCGTAATTGTATGATGTCCATTGCTTCTTTATTTGTGCATCCATTGTATACAAAATTAATATACACAGCTATGAAGACAGCAGAATTATAAAATACATTTTATCCTATATAGTATTATTATGTCGTAGTACGAGGGAGAGAAATTTTATGTAAATACAAGAGCGTTTAAAAAGAAATCTCAACTTAAAGAAACGTACGTAAGAGAAAAAAGTAAGTAAGAATTTTTTTTATAGTATTGTTTTTTGATAGAGTGATTATAAAAGAATGAGAGTGTTTGGAATTTGACAGATAATATGACGTTGGATATTTCTATATTAGCTAAATATACTTACCACGGACAATATAAAATTAAAAAATTTTCAATGATAACATTTTGCATATGTAAGCCATGCACTAGCACAATACATGTCAGTCGAGTACCCATAACTCGTCTAGTGTATAATTTTAGGTGTTTTATTATGACCGAACTTAAAAGTACATCGAGGGTTGTCTCTCATCCAATGTCTGGGAATCAGGCAAGTTATAAAAAGTATGTATACAAAAAGTCTCTCATCTACATATACCATTAATCAAAATGAACAATCAGTTATATGTGTAATACAATGTTATATTAATCTTATCAGTGTATGTGTAAAACGGTGATAACATCTATATCCAAACTTTACATGATTAAAATGCAAATATAACTTTAAATGGTATTGAATTTTCTTATTATACAGTTGAGTAATTTTTAAGTATATAAAAAAATATAAGTTTTAGAACCATGAAAATTGTAGTGAAAAAGACTGAGCTTTTTCTATAAGAGATGACTCCAAAATATCAGAAAATAAACACGTTTTGGCTCTTACTTTATAACTGAGATGTACTCTGTTATTACGAGTTACATATATGTATATGTAATAGTATATGCAATATGGTGAAATATTTCGCATATGTATGTATTTCCATCAATGTATAAAATGTAATGTTTAAATTCGCTTTCAATGAATAGGTAAGTAATTTATAAATATTTGTAGAAATTTCATAATATCGCGATGGCTTACGTAGACGGAGAACTACATATTTTTCTGCAACCTTTTTGTTCGTTTGTTTTGTTTAAAGTCCAATGAGTGACTAATCTTGGCGTATATTTTAGTTTGCTTATGATAAACCACTTAAATTACATGCTACAATACACGTATAACGTATTGTGTAAATACCTATCCTATATACATATAATAGTTTATTTAGAAAGTGGAGCCGCTTGCAAATTTATTTGTATAAAACATGGCAAGGAGATAGGCTAGTTCTTATTGTTATCTAGATTTTGATCTGATAAAATGAAATTTTCATCAGTATCGCCTGGATGAATGGTGATCCACTGTTGTATGTTTCACGCATCACTTCCTGTCATGTAGAATAAAATGTGGAACAAATTAACATTAGCATTATTTCCTAATAAATACGATATGGAGACTTTAAAGAAACAAGTGTCTTACCATCTGGTGCAGTTCACCAAATGGTAAGTGATTACCGCATGTATGCATGATGAACGTTTTTCGTGTTTTACATAAAAAAAGATTCGGACGGATTCAGTAATCGGTGTCCAATACAGGGATCGTAGTTGTGTTTTGAAGACTGAAGTTAAAATCTGTTGTAAACCGAATCAAAATGTTATAAGGTAATTTAAGATAAATTTGATTCGCCATCTAAAAGTGACTTATTTAATTGGTTTTCTTACTTCCAATACCCACAAAATATGAAGTCACGGAGAAAAGTTAATTATGTAATATAACAATGTACTTATTTAATATCGTATATTTTGTAATTTGTACAATTAATTCTTCTAATTATTGTTTAATTTTATAACGAATAATGTTTATGCTCTCGACATTGATCGGTACTATTGACTTAAGAGAAAAAGGTTGTCGATCAAATTGGGTCAAAGATATTAGGAAGGTTATTGTTGAACATTCTTTGAATTTGAATAATTACATGCGATTGTAACAGATGTTTTATAAAACTATTTCTATATGATATGGTTTTGTTTGTATAGGTAAACACAGCTCGCTATTGTAGGCATTTACAATTGTGAAGAACTAATAACTGCTGATCTAATTTATATATATACTAGTAGTTTCTGTTTACTTGTTACTTTGTAAATGATAATTTATAAATTATATGCAGATAATACACGAATACTTGGAATTTTGTTAAATAGATGCCATCATAACAAAAAGGAAAAAATAAATGTGCTCACAGTTGTAATTTCGCATGTTATAGCCAAAGCGAGTGGTCGATTATTGTTATTCTCATGAATATAACAAGGGATCATGAATATGATAACAATTTACGCCACATTGTTATAAGAAACCAATTATTCATGGATTAAATAATAATATTACAGCTGTGTTTGTTTGCTTTTAAGCTGCTTCCTGTAATTGCTGCTTGCTGTTTAAGGAAGATTTTTAATTCATCTGTATGTTTATGTGTAGTTACATGAATACGTTGCAAATTCAGGTTTTGATAATTGTTTTTCAATACGATGAGTTTTCTTCTGACATATTAATTTTATGACGAAACTGCCGTTTTTTTCTTGTGGACTAAAAAAGTACTTGTTTTCAAGTAAAACATGTTTGTGGTCAAACATGCAGCTTTTACCATTAAAAAAATCAACTATTATTAACTATCGAAAAAGGTAAAAGTTTTTAATTTGGTTGTATTTTTTTAATGTTCTTTACCTTAGCTTCTGTTGGATCTGCAGCCCACACAGATTTCATAATTACTTATTATCAGGTGGGTATAAAGTAAAAAAATCCGTCATTCATAAACCGATTTGAAAAATTCTTTTTTTATTAAAAAAGTTTCAGATTGGTTTTTAAAAATAACTTGTTTTGCCATGATTGAAGTCAGTATTTCTTTTTTGTGGAATAAAATCTATTTCGGAATGTTGCGTTTATGAAAAAGATTATTGTTTATCAGTGTGTTTTGTTCATTCTGTTAAAAGATATCGGAGAAAATTATTCTATTTAATTGTTAACAATAAGGAATACAATAAATTAGTAATAGTACTTACCAAATCGAAGTTTGTTTATGGAGAACACATTTATAGAACACGTGATGTTTCTGAACTCCAACTGCACTGTACTCCTTGGTAACAGGGAAACCACATTGTTATTTCTGCGACTCACTATACTCTCATCCATAGGAGCCGGCGTCATTTTGTTATTAGTAATCTCTCACTCTGAACTGTGATTTATATTTAATTTTCTTGACGGAATATAATTGCTTGTATAATAATTACGTATTTAATTACGGTTGGAAATTAATTCATCAATGTAACGGTTCTGTGTGTTGACACATGTCTCGGTAATGATCCATTTATTATGTTTCTGGAAATAATGTTATTATCGTTAGCAAATATTATTCATTATAACTACGTACTTATCTAAGTCCATAGATATTTTAGTATTAAGAATTTATAGTACTTATCATTCAGCTATTTTACTTTAATCCTATTTAATATTGTGCATAATCCTGTTAATATTATAAATGTTAGTTTATATAGGTATTCGGATCTTTGCATTGTTTGTTGTTTTTTGTAACAAGATTAGTAAATAATAGTTAATAATCTTGATCTTGGGGGGGAGAAAAGGATTGTTAGTAATGGAGACTGAGAATCCCATTGTTAGCAATATACCCAACCAGGTTGACCTTCTTGCGGTTCTCCCTGGAAACTATCATGGTTAATTCCTGATGAATTCATCATGATGGGCTAATTGGCCTGTTTTCATTCTCATCTATCACCCTTCACTGGTGCTCCGCAAGCGTATACCGTTAGCGCAGGGGGGGTTACCATACCATTTGCACCCATCAAAAAAAGAAAAAAAATCTTGATCTTAGGCTAACAAATAACAATTTTTGTCCTAGTTCCTGCAAGCAAATTTAGAGTTTACTGCTAGGTTTACAAAAATTATAAATAGAGAGATTTGTTAAGATATTTCAATGTTTATTACATATAAACAGTTGGACGGATTTAAATGAAATTTTCTTACAGAGATAGATTATAACGTACCTTGCTTGCTAAAGCTGGCTTGCTAAAGTCATATTGCATGCAAATTCAGTCTTTCTTACTATCAATCATGGTTACTAAGTTTCATGAGATTTTAACCTATCAATTTTACCTTGTACCTTGGTACTCAAATTTGAATAATATACTCGTAAAAATTCCTAGATACTATTTCAATTTTAAAATATTAAAAATATAAATATTTTTAAAATTTTACAAGCAAGTACATTATACTTTGTGTGATGTTCATTGTATTGTTTATTTCTACATTCAAAGTGTTCGAAGAAAAATCAAATTCGAGTGATACTCTTATGGCATGAGGGTTCATACAAACCCTAAAGATATTTAAATCATGCATAAATGATCGATTTATCGGGTAACGGGAGCCCTTGAATTGAACTTATTGACTTTAAATATAAATATCTAATCGTTTTAATAGAAATAAATGAGACGTATTATTTAGTATTAGTTAAGATTGAATGGGGAACTTATACTCGCATATGGGGCTATTAAGAATATGGGTTAAAACTGATTCTTATGTAAGACTAAATATTCTAAATAAATTTGCTCCTTATTAATCAAGGACTTTAGATAATTGTAACATACTTAATGGATTTTGTTATACAAATAAAAAATACTACTAAACTAATTTTAAAATATAACTTTTCAGCCAAAAAAAAAATCCAAATTGGTTTATAAATGACGGAGTTATGTGGTAACAAACATAAAAAAAAGAATTGGAAAGCTCCACCATTTTTGAAGTCAGTTCAAAATACACTGATAAACGGCGAGATGTTTCTGGTGCTCCGAGTTATAATAAACATAGTACAAATTCTAATTGTACTAGCTATAGTTTTTTAATGGGTGATAATGGAATGGTATCGGTATAAGTTGGCAATGCAAAAGTGAGGGATGACAGGGAAAGATGAAAGCAGGTCAGTTAGCCCGTTGTGACAAAATACATAAGAATTAACTACGATGGTTTCCAATTGGGCGTCGTTGTAGGTCGTGGTGGCAGACCTTGGTCGACTTGATAGGGTATATTGCCAGCTATTAGATTCTCATTCCTGACAATTCCTTCCCCCCTACTAGCTATAGTTGATCTTGCTCAAACTCATTATACTATTAACAGATAAATTGAAATATTTAATTTTGTAAACATACACATCGGAAAGGCTCAGATCAATAAAAACAACAGAATCGAACCTACGACTAACATAAAATGAGGTAGTGTATTTTACAATATTTAAAAAGTTATTAGTAAATTATATTATCTAAGTAAAAAAATTCGATATGCATACGTTTGGTACTTAATGGAGATGCAAACATTATTATAATAGGAGGAGACAGTACAGGAATAGGAGTTACGTTAAAGTAAAAATAACTAAGTTTGTAACTATAATCTCTAATGAGGTAGTCATAGGCTCTTGTTGAAACAATTGTAACGTGTCGTACGTTTTTCTTTATCATTCTATGTAGTGACAAAATTAATATATTCCAATATGCGATTAAACTGTATCGTCTGGAAAAATAAAATCAGTTGATATTTGATGAAGATATCATGTAACATTTAACACAGGGTCGGACTGGGCCGGAAGGTCTCGGGTAGCTGACTACAAATTCGGGGCCCGAGACTAGATGATGGTACTTGCACCAGTTGATAGCGGTACCGCAACTCCCGCAAGCCAGGTCCGTGGACGGCCCATACAGGCTGGTGGCCCGCTGGCAAATGCCACCTCGACTATATGACCAGTTCGACGCTGCATATACACGCAAAAATATACAGACAAACCAGGAACCTCAACCTTTATTGTATCATTTAAAAGTACATTTTTGTTGTATGACATACTATATGCATGTTTGAAGAAAGAAACACTTCTTGTGCGCATTTCATAACTTAGGATGCCAGTATTCAGGAAAAGTGTAACAATTACGATAATTGTATGTTTTCATTTTCGCTTGAAAGGAAGGAGGCAATCCTATTGTGTGGTTGCGATTCATATTGGTTGAATACAATTTCATAAATCCGGTGTAAATTGCGTATCACGGAGGCTACCGGTTCGGTAGTACCGACAAATGAAACCTTAAGAGTTATAGCACATTATGATTTATTAGTTGTTTATTTTATTACTTTAATAAATGCAAAAGCTTGTTACGATGGATGCATGGATGTTTGTTACTTTTTTACGTAAAAACTGTTGAACAGATTCCAACAAAAATTGGTACACGGGTAGGTTATATCCTAATTTAGTACATAAGATATTTAATATATTAATTCACATGGGAAAAGCTATGATATACAGTAAGTTTAATTAAATTTACTTAATTAAATATACTTGATTTTGTCTTCATAGTCTGTACTGTTTTTTATTTTTTTAATAGAAGAAAATGAACTTTTACCTTATGATATTGGTGTATTTTGATGACGTATCAGAGAGAGATGATAGATAAGGGTAAAGGTTAGTTGGTCCATTATGATGAATTCATCAGAACGATTTAATCATAATGTATAGGAAAAGCTTGTTTAAAATATACTTTTCTACTGTAGAATAATATATTAAATAGGCTTTGAAATTTAGTCATCATCTAGTCAGTTAGTGCGTAATGTTACTAATGTTACACATTAGTAATATTACGCACGAAAGAATATTATTAAACGCATTATCGCACCGGAACTCTCTGGAGTTATCTGGTGGGATATCATCTGTTTTGTATTTTTTTCATTACTAACTGATTTCATATGTTTATTGGGGAAAGGGATTGTTATTGACGGGGACTTGTGGCCATATTGCTAGCTCTCTAGAAAGTATTATGGTTAATTATTTGTGAATTCGTCACGACGGGCTAACTGACCTGCTTTCATGCTCACCTATCATCAAGCACCGGTGCTCCGCCAGCGTACACCGATAGCGCAAGTGTTGTTATTGTTCCATTATCATTCATTAAATAACATGTTTAGTAATATATATATTTCTTAAGTTAGATACTATATTTTATTTCCAATACAACAACACTCTTATACTCGTAGAACATACTTTAAATGATCTCGTTAATAATTTTTACTTATACGTATATTACAAATATATATAGTTCAAAGGGCACTCCGTTGTCGCCGTATTTGCGACATTAAATCCACTGTCGTGGCTTTGGCGAAACTGTTTTACTGACTCAGCATCCTTAATAAAATAGCTAAGAAATAAATGTTTTGTTTTATTGCAACGACTCCATTTTTCTTTTACATCACAGATATGTACTTGTAACTAATATAGTGCTGAAGTTATTGGTATCCTCTATGAGTTACTAGGTTGGAGTGCAAAGGGTTAAATTAACACTTCATTGTATATAATATAAATATATATTCATTGTATAATAAAATAAATATAAACATAAGTTTTATTTTTGCCCAACTCTGTCAGAGCCAGCTTATCTAAAGAGTCAAAAACTAGGTAGGTGTGCGAGTGAGCGAGCTATGTAAGGCAGAAAGGAAAGTAAGATTATACAAAAAATGAAAGGTGCTGTAAACTTTCAAGTAACAGTAAAAATTCAAAGTGCTTGATGAATTTTATACTAGTTTTTAATAGTTTCTTTTTAAATAATAAAGAAAATATAGCTAGTTAATATTTATCGATCTATTTACATTCGTAAAAAAATCTTTTAGATATCGCTTAAAAACGGTTCTAATGTTTAGTAACAGTAAGTAAAAGAGTAAAAAAAATATATTAATATCAGATATTTCTAATATTCGTTATATTATTTTTATTAATAATAATTCGGAAATGACGCTTAAGTACTATGTTGCTATATATTCGTATTTATTGCGATGTAAATATTAATATTATTTTGATAAAACAACTGGCTGGCGACAAATTTGCGCTGGTATGAGCTAACCAAATACGTCTGGCATACGCGATAAGAACTTATATGGGTATACCATGACATTGAAACCTTATCGAGATATTAACTAAGTCCCTACATTTTTATCTATAGACATATATTACACATTTACTTTATCCAAACTTTAACAGTAACGGGTAAAAATGCATTATTGCTATCTTTTATGATTAATGAATATGATAACTTGTAATGAACTAATTTTGTGAAACTGGGTAATTAATCGGTTGATGTTTCTTTTAGATTGAAATGTCATCTAATTACCTACTGATGCTGATTTATTCAATGATACTAAATCGATAGCACACTTATACTGTTGATTAGTCAGCTATTCGTATGCTGGATCTAGATAATATACTTATTCTAAAACAATATTTTACATAATAGTTGCTCAAAATAATAATTCCAAGTTTCTCTTTTACCATGAATACAGCCTATGAACTTGTGATAGGTAGGCTGTTGTCTAGTAGGCAAGTCCTTATTATAATAGGTAAGGGTTGCGTGCAATGATGCGGAAAAATACACTTATATAAAGTTAGATTGTTTTTATCAAACGATTAATTTACATATTAATTTTGCACCTACCTACGATATTTTATAATTTCTGCCTTATACTAGAAAGTGACGATATAGTGATCGCTTACTATAAATATAATTAACTTTCGGCTTTGCTCGCAGGAATTACGATAAAAAAAACTTAATGGGTTATAATATAAATGATCTCGGATATGAACCATTTGTGTACTATATTATAATATATATTGTATTATTTTTAAAATAAAATTTCACGTCAGTTATGTTTATTGAATCTAATAGGGTTACTAGGGGGAAAGAGATTGTTAGTAATGGGGTCTAACTGCACCATTGCTAGTAATACACCTTATCAGGTCGACCTCCATGCGATTCTCTCTGGAAACCATAGTACCTACTTCTAGTGGAATTCGTGACGATGGGCTAACTGACCTACATTCATCCTCACCTATCAACCCTCATTGGTACCCTGCCAGCTTAGGTATAATGATAGCGCAGGCGGGGTTACCATTTCATTATCACTAAAAAACAGGGTTACTATAATAAATAAAAATGTAGGTGTTTGTCATGAATTTAGAAAAATTTCTAGCTACCATCATCAATGTTTAAATTTGTGTAGGGTAACATCGACACATCAAGTAGAATATCCTAAAACTATATTGAAGTTTTATGCCAATTATTGTTATTGTTGCACTTGGGATTTTTATTATTTTTTATTTTTCTAATTTCAAATAATAAACTAATTATTTAAAAATGAATGGATTCTTAAGTAATAATATATCTAAACATTTATTGTTTCCGAGAAAATTGGGATTGTTGTTTATTCTGAGACGATATTCTCCAAAGCTCTCTTTATTTTAATTTGATAGGTTTGCTAAAATATTACTTTATAGACTATCATAAATTCAATTTACAACAATTATGATTTAAATTATCAGTAATTTATATCATATTGGTCCTTAAAATAAGATTATATATCGTGATATGAAATTAAAATTTTATTTTAGAGACAGTTCTACAAATTGGCGTCTTAGAATCTACTCCATTGTCGTACATTATTTGGATTTTTTAGTAATAAATAACTTTATTTGTTATAGTTATCATAGTTTTATGAAATATATAAATGCTTAAATTGCTGCTTGCTTTTAGCTAATTTTTTTGTAAATACAATCACAATTATTTAGAAGTAATTGAATAATGATCGTAATATTAGTTAAATATTTTAAAAGACAAGAATTTCTATGAAAGTCAAAATAAAAAGTAGCTTGTAAAATAAAAATGTAGTAACGATTTTTACTTACTTTACTTTGTCGTGACAATTGTCATTTTATATTCACAATGTAACCCGCGATTTTTTTTTATTTATAAAAGTTGTATATTTTTTTTATTGTCACTTATTTATAATGTGGATATACTTTTTGCGTATTAATACACGCATACGTGTGCGGGTGTTTCTTATTAAAATAATCGCACTGGCCCTTCCTGTCCCGTCTACACGGCTCTTTGAACGCCACCCGACTGCCGCGTATTGACGAGTCGCTGCCGGCCGGCCATTCAAAGCATGGTACTGTTGAATTTATAATCTGTGGGTTTGTTTTTTTTTTTTTTTTCTATTTCTTTTGTACGGCACAGTGCAACGTATGTAGGCCAGATGTCTAGTCCGTGCCGTAGCATCAATTTGTATACCGCAAACTAAACGAATTATATTTTATATTGTAACTGACTTTATAAGCGATTTAAAAAAGGAGGAGGTTCTCAAATCATCTATATTTTTGACATATGATTATTTATATTTATCTGTACGGATGTAATATAGTGGAAGAGTTTTTTTTTGTTTGAACGTATTACCTTTTGGACTACTACTTCGTAATCGGAAATGTAAAATTATTTTTGCATCTATATATATATATATATATACATCTATATGTATACATCTATATATATACAGTAAAAGCTCTATATAAGCAATTTATTTGAACCAATTTCAATAAAAAAATCTTATTGGGAAAAGTTGCTTATAGGAAAAAAAAGGAGTATAAAAGTACTTTACCATCTGGAAAATATTTTTACTTATTTCTTTTACTAACTAAGCTGAGTAGAATAAACAAAATTGTCGCATATAGCTAGTACAAATATAGCTATACTAAATGTAATTATATGTTTGTTACACAAAATTTGGGCTAATTATGAACCGATTTTAACAATTCTTTTTACAATCAGCGCCATATTCATTTTGTACGAGTAGATAATTATTAATAAAAAATAAGTAAAATATTAGCTGTGTACAATAAAGATATCCTATAACAACAAGATTAATTGAGATTATAACTAATCTGAACAAAAATGTTAATGTAATGTAAAATCTTACTTTTTTTTAATGGATGATAATGGAATGGTAATCCCATCTGCGTTAAGGGTATAACGCTTGCGAGTTACCAATGAGGGATGATAGGTGAGAATGAATAGGCAGGCCAGTTAACCCATTGTGATGAACACACCTGGAATTCAGCTCGATGGTTTCCAGGAGAGACTACGTGGAGATCAACTTGATAGGATATATTGCTAGCAATGGGACCGGTAGTCTGCGTTACTAACTATCCCCTTCTGGGGGGAAAGGAATTGTTAGCAATGGAGTTTGACAGCCCCATTGCTAGTAATATGTCCTATTAGGTTGACCTTCACATGGTTCCCCCTGGAAACCATCGTGAACAATTGAATTCGTCACGATGGGCTAACTGACCTACTTCATCCTCACCTATTATCCCTCACTGGTGCCCCGCCAGTGTATACCGATAGCGCGGGTAGGGTTACCATTCCATTATCCCTCATTAAAAAACTATCCCCTTCCTCCAATATCTAACGTTAGATATTAAATAAAAATCTTAATATTTTTACCTGCTACTTCGTACTCGTACGTGTGGATTTCAGAAGTAGGAAAATCAATAAAACAGCGCACTCCTAGATTACATGTCAAGATGAAACATATACCAGTTGTTAAGTTAGACTTTTAGGAATATAACCGCATCCAATTTGGAACAGTATATTTTGCGTGATGTCGGAACCAATTTATAGACACAACCAGGTAGATACAGATAAACAGACAGATAAACAAAATTTCTAAAAAGCACTGTTTTGGTGTCTATTTGGTGTCTATCTATCTATATAATGTTCATAATTTTTTTTTAATATATCATATGTACAGACATCGTCTAGTTACAATTTTATTATATTAGTATTTTTCTATATAATTGATTCGATCTTATAAATTGCGAATGGTTTAATTGAATTAGTTTCGTGTTTGAGAAATTATTAAAAAACCGTCAAAAACAAACTTAGTTATGCGGTCTAGTTTTTAAAATGGTAATTTTATCTTATCCTTACTAATATTATAAATGTGAAGGTAAGTTGATTTGTTAATTCTTAATGCTTTAACGGCTTAATCAATAACTATGAAATTTGATATACACATACTATATGGCATGAAGAAGGTTAAATTACTTTTTAACATGGTCAGTGAACTAAAGAATATTTAAAGGTTATCTAATGTTATCTGGATCTGAATATCTTAGATATGCGGACGAATGTTTATGTACGGAACTCTGGGCGTGTGAATTGAACTCACACCTGACCGATTTTAAATACTAAAGTCTTCGTCCGCATCCACAAACTTTATGACGATTTATCAAATTGTTAAGGAATAACAATAACAAGTAAACAAACTCACTTTCATATTTATATTATAATATTATTAAATATTAGTAGAATTGGACTACGATAGTAAGAGACGCTTACAAACTTTATTTAAATATCGTCCAGTAAGAAAGGAAACTAGAATTGTTTAAGAACGTAACCATGTACTCGTACTTTATTTTATGGGAGGGTAATGATTCATACAGATACAAATATTGGTTTTGTTATACCAATAAGGTATTGGCATCCCGTGGTTTTACCTAAATGTATTAAGATAAAAATTTACGATATATATAGTCTGACTGTAAATTCAATTCACTAGTCTGTGTCGTTTAACAGTTAGAGAGAGATTTTTGTGATATGAGTATTTTAAGAGGAACGCTGCCGCTCATCCTGAACATTTATGTTCCCTGAGTCGCCTATTACGACGTTCACGGGAAAGAAAAGGGTGACCCATTCTAAGCCGGAACTATACAGCAGTTGTATTATAGTCTTTTATTATCACAGTGCCGTAAAATTGTGAAGTCATTTTCATTATTATAGAAATAGACGTCTCGGGGGGAAAGGGATTGTTAGTAATGGAGACTGAGAATCCCATTGCTAGCAATATACCTAACCAGGTCGACCTCCTCGTGGTTCTCCCTGGGAACTATCATGGTTAATTCCTGATGAATTCATCATGATGGGCTAACTGGCCTGTCTTCATTCTCATCTATCACCCTTCACTGGTGCTCCGCAAGCGTATACCGTTAGCGCAGGCGGGGTGACCATACCATTTTCATCCATCAAAAAAAAAAAAAAACACGTCTTATACGGATACGATCTTTTAAAGATACTAAAATAACTGACTTCCTTTTATATGAATTCACTCTTTTTGTAGTAAAAGGACTGTATTGCGAGGATTGCCATTGTTTTAGATAAGTTATAATTCTTATACTGGTAATATAGTGAGTTATAGATAACTAAAAGCTTGAACTTCTTGCTTTATGAAGTTACAGGGGCTTAAAAATGGCGTGAACCGCTTAGAGAAAAGAATGATATTGCTGTGCTCGCTTGACGACGGCATTACTATGCCTCTTAACGATTTCTTTGTGTAATAAATAAATTTAATTTACACAACATTCAGACTTTCACATTTATAAATCAGTAGTATAAAAATAAAAGTAGTATAAAATGATTTTTATTAAGGGGAGAATAGAATGGTATATTAGTATATATGGCGATATTAATATATGCAGGTTGGGCCGCAGTAAGAGACGATAGGTGAGAATGAAAGCAGGTCAGTTATCCCAACGTGTTGAATTCCATAAGATTTAAGGACAATCGTCTCTAGGAGAAACGTCTGAAGGTCAACTGATAGAATTTATTGTTAGCAATGGGAATCACAGACTCCATTAATAACAATCTTTCATTTCAACAATCATTCGTTCATTCTTGTCACACTACACATTCATTTCAACATCCGCATCTCAGCTTCATGCAGTCGCCTTTCATCCGTCACCTTTCCAAACAGGGTTGACGTCAAGCAGGCGACCTGCCGTAAAACTATAAGCTAAACATTTTTGTAATAATATTTAAACGTACAAACTTTCACATTCTTAATATATTTAACATTAGTAGAAGGTGAGATGTTGTTAAAATGTTGATAAATTGTCACGCTCATGACGCTATGTGGCATCATGACACAGATATTATTGTACTGTATTGTAAAATATTTATATATTCTTTATTGCACTTAAACAATACATACGACAATTAGTTTAATAACTTGTTAGCAAGGGAGGGCTTATCTCTGAAAGAGATCTCTTCCAGCCAACCCAGTGTAGTTAGAGAGAAAATAATTTAAGTAATCCAGTGCAGGAAAGGTTTATTTATACTATATAAAATATTCGTAATAGATAAGCTCAAGAACCATATTATAAATGAGTACTAGTAATATAGACCCGTGCAAAGTTCGGATCGTTACTTGTACACACCTTACTAATATCTCCAATATTTAGAAGAATTAATATACAATGGCGGACTTATCCCATAGAGAGATCTCTTACAGTTAATCTATTAATTTATTATTTATTTATTAAAATAATAGTTGTTATTTTGAGTTTATTAGTTATAATTCTTTGAAAGGTAGCGTAAAAAAGCACTTAGTGAGGAGGCAGTGGAATGGCAACGTATGGGGGGTATCATAACGAAACAGTACATTCTGTTATGTCCATGGTACTGCTCATGTCTATAGGCGACGGTTACCACTTTCCATCAGGTGGGCCGTCAGCTAGTTTGCCATTCTAAGTTGTATAAAAAAAAGGCAAGTTGCGGCCAACCGTTGAGAGTGTCCTCTTTTCAGCTGATCCATTTCATGGTCCATAATGTCTTTGTATTTATTCTTCGCTCAGGTTACATGTCGTGCTAAAATAAAAAAAAAAACAAGTGCCTAAAATGAGCAAGTCACTGACTTTAATTATTTGATAGATTTATACACGAAGATCAATAATAGTGTTATATTTTTAATTGGAATATGTGTTTGTAGGATAGATAAAGAAAGAATAAAAATATCTAATAAATTGTTCTCGGATAGGTAAAGATTATGAATTGGTTGAATGAGAAAAAATATATATATATATATATATATATATATATATATATATATATATATATATATATATATATATATATATATATATATATATATATATATATATATATATATATATAAGTGGTAGGTAAGACTGGCTTAACCAATCACTATAACCGTACTATATGGGATGAATTAGGATACAGGCAACTTTTTATTCCGGTCAGTAAACATATTCCGGTCATTCCGTATTCGCGGACGAAGTCGAGGGTAATGGCTAGTATATAATAGTCATATATAATAATCATATAAGATACTAGTGTTGACTAGATCGGTTAAACTAACTTTAACAGAGATTATAATCTAATCTGTAGTTCAACTTAATACGTCAATATTAAATATAATAACAATATAGATTATATAATAATATTAAACCGTGGATAATATTCTTTATCTATGTACATATGTTTATTATTATTATGATTACGATGTAAATGTGAACTCTGTAACAAGCTTAGATTATAATATACTGGTGATTTGCCTCGATTTTGTTCGGGCAGATAGGGAAAGGTAAATTAATATGTATTTTAGCTTTAATAGGCAAATTTTTGGTACCTTAGGTTAGATTAATATAATTTTAGTAGAAATCTTTAAACTTTTCATAAATTCATATAGCTTACGTTATTCGCTGGTAATGTAGCTGAAATAATACATGGAAGTATTTATAAAATCGGTTGAGTAGTTATTGAGTTTATCAAACAAGCAAACTTAGTAATTATAAGTATACTTTCTTTTAAATTATTAACATTTTGTATGAATGTGCTTAGTATAAGTACATTTTGTTCCCTTATATAAATAGATTGGTAATTTTTGAGAGTGTCTTTATGTACAAAGCTAACGAGAGCGCCTGCAAATTAAATATAGGCAATATTTCAAAACCATCATTATTTTGTCTAGAACTGATTGAAAAGTGCTGATATCCTTCTTGCTTATTAATATTATAATTAAACGATCCTCCCCAGATATGTACGGGTCATAGGTACATTATTATATGTATAGGTACATTAGTGTCATTACTGCAGGGTTCAATAATATTTTGTTTTTTTTTTTATCTTTTTTTATACTACTGTGGTGATAAACAAGTCTCATTTTTGACAATTTCGCCAAAAATGTTAAAAGCAATAAGCTTTATGCATACACAAAATAAAGTAATATCCAATAAAGAGTAAAAACCGTGAGATTAGAAAAATGAAATTAAAAAATTACTTATGAAAATGTAGGTAGCAAGAGATTTATGGAAGGATAGAGGCTTTTGGCATTCAATTAGAAATGAAATATCACACACAACAGGGTCTTAGGAGCCATATATTATTTTTAAAGATGATTGATAAAACACAATTGATGACTGTATTGGGAAAATACTTCGTCTATTGTTTTGGTTCCGCGATCCTTGAAGTTTTTTTACTAAGAACTTTGTTTTACTACTTTGTTAAGAAGGCCATGTAATGAAAAATATAACAAACCAGTGTCTATTTAGTTGTACGAATGGCGTTGTCGGCAATTCAGATTCTGTTGTATTTATATTTTTTTTCTTTCTTGCTCTTGTACTCAACCATTCATGGCATAAATATTGCTAATTAGTAAAAAGTATAATGTTGTTTGATTCTTTTTAATTTAGGTAATATTATTTTGCAATGGTAAGAATTTGATATAATTTTGATACTCAATTGTCGCTATATTATTTCAGTAAAGTAAATTTCAGTAAGTAAAAATAAACTCTTTTTTTTCTGGGACGTGTATCCTTTTTCTTATAATATTGAGTTATTAAAGCTTAGTGTGAAAGAGTATTTAGTAAATATACATAGGCGGCCTTCTTTTGAACTAATCTTGATGGGAAGAATTTTCTTTGTTCGGTTCTTTGCATTCATACACCATTTGTACGGTTTCACATTTAGCTCTTATAATAAATAAATTTATTAATTACGTATGTTAGTTATGGTACATCGATACCATTGGTGAAATATAAAATCGTTTAAAATGACCTTTATAATTTTATATAATATAACAAGGGTAAAGTAATATTTCCGTACATACGACATTGTTTACCACGCTCGTCAATTAAAGCTAAATTAGTGCTCCAATTAAATAACAGGTATCGTGGAAACAGATGGGATATGGTGGAGACAGTTTTAAATGGTGTTTGAAACTGCTACCACCAAGTATTATAGTAAATATTTTGTAATATTTTATATAAATGTACGAGTAATTTTTTAAAATGAAGTGGTTATTTTATGTGATTGTGTTCGTTTACTTGTTTTACAGAGCAGGTACAGGTTTAGATGTATTTTTATATAAATTCAGGGTATGGTTTTTTTGTGGTGTTAAGCTTGTTCTAAAAAAAAAAATGAAAAAAGATTAATACATTTTATATTCAGGAGAACTATACGATTTAATATCAGCTTAATAAAAATTTAAAATGTTAAGAACAAATAAACAAATCTATTATAGTTAATAGAATGCTTGTTTAATCGTTTGAGTATGAAAAGGAATCGTAGTATATTGTAATTCTTAAGTTATGCCATGACATGGAAAAGATATTGCTTACTTTATTTATATTTATTTTATTTTCTTAGGTATTGCCTATCTATCTATTATGGACAGAGAGTAATTAAGTATTGAGATTGAGTTCTTGTGGTAGGTTACTGATAATATCTAATTGATAAATTGCACTTTTTCAGTATATGGTCTTAAAGAATCAAATAGTTTATATGTGGAACCTATAACCTACGAAGAAGATCTTAAGTATTTGCCTGTTGGAACGAGAAAAACAATTGCCTGTAAAGTTCTGAACAGAAATCAAAAGGTAATGATACTCATTAATTACATGTATATTTGTTCCATAACGAGAGTGTTTTGGTATGGTTACCGTAGGACAGACTAACTTCTTTTCTGGTCACCCATCGAAGTACAGGCGACGAATGAAATAAAAAAAAAAAAAACTAGGTGATAGCCACCTATCTCCTAGATTTTTTTATGTTACTATTGTTCTTATAAAACTAGCATCTAAGTTGTGATTGCCAATAAGTCTGTCAAATGTAGTAAAAAATATTCCGCTAAGGGAAAACGATTTTCTTGCCGACTTCACTATTCCTAGTTTTACTCCATTTGTGATAGTGGAGCAGAAGGTGATAAGAATTTTCGATAGATTCATCATACTATAGCTATACTAGCTAATGTAGTATGTAATCACATATTTATATTATTCATAAAATTTTGCGTGGCGTTTGATAATTATCAAAACACCACATTACTGTTACATTGTAATTGTGCTTTACCTTTAAGATTAGATTTACGCTTTTATTCCGTTTTTCTTTCCCTGCACTGGACCCTAATTTCTTTTGCGACAAGTAATTAAGTTACAAACATGTATACATGTTAATTAATCGTCCATGTACAATATCATGTACTTGTACATCATAACCTTGTGATGTTTTTGTCTTCTAGCGAAATGATAAATTTGCAAACAAGGTCAATTTCAATAACAGTAGTAATACATAAGTATTTATGATTTAGTAATATGTTATCGTTATATATACGACTCAAAATCTCCAAATTTAAAACAAATATTCTCAATGGTAAATATGAAAGTGATATATAACGCACCAAATTGTTAATATTGTAATCTGTAAATTGTAATATTGTGATGAGAGTTCTTTTTATTATGTATTCATTATGAGGACTGCTGTTCGTAGAAATATTGAAAAATCTAAGCTTTATGTCAAAGTTTTAAGGATTATCAATAGTTAAGGTTATTTTCCCAGTAATTCAACTATTGTATTGAATGTTTTTGATCCTTATTTGTGTACTTATTTAAAAACGACATCAGTTTGCTTATATATCACAATGACTTTGCTTTTTGCTAAACTTACGTAGGTATTCAATTATTTTTGCGCAAATTAATTTATAATACTTTCCTTCACGTTGATGGCTTATTTCATGTAAATATAGATTTTTCTACCAAATATTTGAATGCGACATTACATGAGTGTAAATATTTTAAATTTATGGTTATTATTGACACTTGTCTAAAAAACCAGAACGGAAATGTTCAAACCATATTCAAACCGATATATTCAAACTAAAAGCGTGTAATGTTATTTTATTTGCAATACCTTGTGTGAATGATGTATGACGAAATACTTATTATATTTGAAAAACATAACACATTAAAGATTTTTTAATTCTTCATATATACTGATAGTATAAAGAGGAAAGATTTGATCATTTGTAATGGATAAACTCAAAAACTACATACGACAGATTTAAAAAAAAAATTCTAAAAGGAAGGGATATCTATTCTACGCTGGGACCATACGGAAATTAACATATAATCAATATCTGGAATATGATTTTTTTATGATACATAGAATGAAAAACAAGTTTTACTGCCATATATGCTAGGTACAGCTGCTCCATGACAGATACACTAGTGAAATAGATGTAGTCATGCAGACGATTTTGTACAAAGTTTCCCTAGGCTAAGGTTGATATTTTCACAGGTGGAATGGTTAAATAATCACGGAAATGTAGTTAAGCATGAGAATACGAATCGAGTGTTCTCACAAACCAAGCATCTTATGAATTCCGGCCGAATTGTTACTGAGCAAGTTTTGACGTTCACACATGCAGTTGTCGAAGATAGTGGAGTTTACACATGCCGAACGGACAAAACATCACAGGAAGTCGAGTTGTGTGTTATTGGTATGTGGTTGAGTTTCTACTATATCGTTAAATGTATAATGAATTGCAAAAGTTTAATTATGTAATTTGACTTTACATGCTGAAATAAGTGTGCAGGTTATGTTGTTTAGGTGTCTTTATTATTTTGGATTGTGAAAATTTTTATAATATGTTAATGTTTACATTTGTCATTTAAAATATACTAGGATATTGTTAGCAATGACAAAATTTAAAGGCAATAAGATCATGAACGTGCCAAGATTATAGATGACTTTAGGTGGCTATGTATACTCAGAACATTATTGTGCGTAGCATGCTGTAGGTTTGTACTGAAGTTTGTATACTCAGTTAAGGTGATTAATATGTTTTTTTTTAATATTTCTTATTTGAATTAGTTTCATACTCGTTCTATATGTCACTTTGAACATATACTTTTATCGAGTATTTTTTTGAACACGTTATGGGCACATGGGGACAAATTATCATAAAAAAAATCTTTTAGATGTTGAAAATGGTTGAACAATTGAGCGTTTATTTATAAAGACAATGACCTTTTTTACAATGTTTACGTAAAAATTTTTACAGTGAATTTCGTGAAGAATTGTAATAGTCGCCTGTGTACGGGAATAAATTCCGATGTTTGTAGTATCTCTCACGCGTTGCTCGTTGTTCCATTATGTTTGTATAGATATTATTGTTAATTATTCATGTGACTTCTATACCTACTTTATACAAATAGATAATATAAATTCATTGCCATACCCCATTTTTTAAACTTAAATATAACTATCCAAATTTTAGCTGCTTTACGGCGTTAAGAAAACATTTCATCAGGCGATTTTGTTATAAAGTTTCCCACAAAAAATAAAACTAATATTTTTTTTTATTTCAACATTAGTATTATTAGCTATGATACATGTCATTGACTTGCAAATTAGCAAATAATGTCAGTAAATAGTTGAATTTCACTCATAATATTGAATATTAATTTCAAATGTTTACAGACATTACTGAATATTTTGCTATTGTGTCGGCAAAATATGTATGACGTCTGTTAACATGCCATCTCTGAATTTACCGTATTTAGAATAAATACATTACAATAATTTTAAAAATTATTATTGTTAAAACACGCAAATACTGCTGTAATGCTGTATTGAATTTACGGGCGGGTAATACATATATAGTTATTATAATTGCCATATCTACGTATAATGGGCTTATAGAATATATTTATAATATAAATAATTATATATAAAGAACATATCTGACCGAAATAAATTAAAAGTATCGGTATGGGAAATATCCTGGATAATAACGTTTTTTTCCGCCATCAATGTCTAGAGGAATGCAATATACTCGTATAAATAACCAGAGCGGTAGCCTAAAATGAGGCAATGTGTAAAATCGTATCATAAATATACTGAGGTCGGTGGTATAGCGTTTCTAAATCATGTCATAAGGCGAATATTCTTGGTACAGAAAATAATTATTTAAAATCATATTACCTAATTATCATTACCGAAATGTATTTCTTTGTAATTCTTTTTTTATTTTAAAATATTTTTTATTTATAACCTATACAGGTAAATTTTTGAATTGATTGAGAATCCGTGGAGTTAGAAATAATGAAAAGAAAAAAGAATAAAAAAAAAAAAATATTGGATTGATTTTTACTAATGATAATATTATAAATATGAGAGTGACTTTTTTAATGTTTCTTGCAGTCACAGCGGCTTAATCAATTGTTATGAAAATTGCGATATACGTACTGTATGAGATGAAGGACATAAGGTACTTTTTATCTTGTTCAAAGAACAAGTATATCCCGATAATGCGAACGAATAATATAAATAACTAGTAATCGGCGTTGGTGATTTTTTCAAGTTATATGTACACACTTTAGAACTAGGTATAGACAGATAAGTGAACAAACAAATATATGTAGAAACTAGCGGCCCGTCCCGGCGTCGCACGTGTGGACATTTTTACATTTTAAAAAGAGGTCATTAAGGCTGCATACGCGACGGAAGCTTAAAAAAGGAGTAACTTCTCCCGTTTTTCCAACATTTCTCTTCATTGCTCTGCTCCTATTGATCGTAGCGTGATGAAAAGTATACTATAACCTGCCCAGGAGTATGACGAATAATTATACCAAGATTCGTTATAATTCGTTGAGTAGTTTTTGTTTCTATAACGAACATACAGACAGACACACAAAAATTTTACCGATTGCATTTTTGGCATCAGTATCGATCACTAATTACCCCCTGATCGTTATTTTGGAAATGTATTTCATATACAGAATTGACCTCTCTACAGATTTATTATAAGTATAGATAATGACGTCAAAGACTGTTACCGGTAGCGCTTATTCGTTGTTGAGTAAGTACATATTTAATATTCCCAGACTACTTGTTCGTGATAAATAATAATAGATATGACTGTTTAGTTTAACAATCAATTTTAACGACCTCTGTGGATAGGTAGGTATATTGTTTTGTGTAAATGAGGTTTCGATCTTTGGTTAGTCTAATTTAGAAATAGATTTTTACTAAAGTTTACAAATTCAAGTTTGTGTTCTGGGTATTGCAGGTATTCATTATCCGGTTTGTTAAAATAAAGTTTTTCTATTCTTCCACGAATAGCCTTAGTTTGTTTTGACTTCAGTGATAGCGTTAATAATCTGGGCATCTACACCGATAGGTCACTGTCTTGGTCAGTCCAAATCGGTGAAGTCAGCAGTAAGAGTTTTGCTGTCGCTGGCTTACTGAGAAGATTGAGCAACTTTCTATCGATGGATATTAAAATTATGTTGTCCATACCCTATTACTTTCCGTGCTTGATTATGCTGACACCTGCTATCTAAATTTCACTGTAGAGCGACTAAATAAACTTGAGCGACTTCAAAATATCTGCATTGAGTTTATATTTGGATTACGTATATATGACCACAATTCACACTTCCGTTTACAACTCAATTGGCTCCCAATTCGGCTTTGTCGTAAATTGCATATTCTTTCTCTTCTTTGTTCTATCTTTTTTAATCCTATTAGTCCTAATTGATTTAAAATACCATTTGTAATTTTCGGTGATGAGCAGAGTCGTGGATTACGCAGTGTTAAAAACCTCGACCTTTAAAACTGCTTCTCATAGCTTTTCTTTTTACTCTAAATCCTTCTCCGTGCATGCCGTACGACTATGGAACGCACTACCATCCTCAATACGCGGCGATAGCCACCTTCAAGAATCACATTACATAAGTCCCACTACCTGTTATTATTGTTTTTTTTCTCTCGCTCTCTTGTATTGTTTTTGTTCTCTATACCTACTTGTCTCGTTATTGTGCGTAAAATAATTGTATATATGATTTATACATATATATATCTAAATGTATGTTATGTATTTTATATATTTATTATATACTTATTTACGTAATATATACTATTATAACTACTTAGGTCTATTTATGGTATTCATATGGTTATTTTGCGTCAAATTGAGTAAATAAATAAATGAAGTATGTATTAAAGATTGCTATAATTAATATTGGTTTGATGATATGATATTGATTTCTTAACATTTGTAGAAAACTAGTAGTATTATAATTATTTATTTATAGTTTTGCACACATTAAAATATGTTTACAGGGCGGACCGTTATGCTAAACAGAGAGAGTAAATGGATAGATGGTAATGCATAGATTAAAAAAAATTGTAAATTAAATGAATATTTTGAAAGATAACAACAATTTATGATAAATAAACATACAAACATATGGAATAATATACAAAAAATATAATAACTATACATAGTACATCATATATATATATATATATATATATATATATATATATATATATATATATATATATATATACATATAACTAATGATATAATAGTACAGATTGAGGCTTTACATTGTTGTGATAAATTGAAGTAATATTCACGAAGGGACTTTTTGATATCAATAGGCATAAGTATACAGAGTTATAATTTTTCTACTGCAGATGCATCAGATTTTGTTAATACCCCAAAGGAAATCGCTGTTAATCAGGGTCGTTCATACACATTATCATGCGAAGCTAGGGGGCAACCAGAACCCAGAATTGTATGGAATAGAAATGGAGAAGATATAAAAGGTAAATATTTTAGATGGAATATAACATAGAGACTAAAACTAATAAGCTAATAGCTATTTTTTGATTAAAATGGTTTTATATTATAATTGTAAGTAAACATTAATTTCGTCATTTAAGTCAGAATTTTTACGGCAGAATTTTTATGGTCTCGGCATAAAATAGGCTACCCTTTACACCACCAATCCTTCTTCTCCCGTGGGTGTTGTAAGAGGTAACTAAGGGAACTAATGGTCTAGGGATGGGTAGCAGCACCCTTCTTAAAACATTACCAAAGTCTAATTGCGGTTGCCAACCCGTCTACTAAGCATAGTAACTACTGGAAAACCCTACCACAATTGATATTATCATCATCGTCATTAGAACTATTTGTTAATTTTCAAAAATAATTTTTAATATTTATGATTAATTATTTTAAAAGTGCTCCGATTGGTGATTGTAGATACTATCTTAATTTTAAGTTTGTAAACTAAAATATCTTTTAATTTAAAGTGCAGGGTATGGTTTCTAAAAATAAAGCCGATGATTAGATAAATTAATGTATAGACTATATTTAAGGGAAATAATAATTGTACAAATTTATAGGTATATTTTAAATAATTTTATATATCCATATATTTTAATTAAACAGATGATGGCGACGATTCTTCTAAATATCGCCTGATGGAAAAGTACAATAGACAAGGCTTCGAAAGTCTACTCACCATAACGTCCTTGGAAGCTGATGACCACGGAATTTACACCTGTACAGCTATACAAGAGAATTCCAAGTTATCGGATTGTAGTTTGAGTAAATCTTGGAACATCACTTTAATAGTTAATCGTGAGTTTTTCGTTTCTTAATATATTTTTTTTCTAAATTTCAGCAAACAATTTGTTATTCATATAATAAACATAATATAATCGTTATTACTACATCCTATAGACTACTATAAGGAACAAACTGTGTTTGACTATAAATTTAAAGCAATAAGTATTCAAGTTTTAAAGGTTGCAAAAATAAATAGTCTCTATTTTAGGGAACTCCACGTGACTAGGGGAACACAGTATATATTGAACTAACAAAAAAGATGTCAAAAAACATATATCAAAAAGATTATGAAAAACAATAATATAAAAATACAATTATGTAAATATTCGTAAAAAACGCTGGCTGGCCAAGCTGTCAGCAACACTCCAATTGTATGGGGTTACCTAAAAATAGAAAACTAAATTATAGTAGTAGATATTGAAATGAATTTTGAGAAATCATGAGCAAGAATAAGACGTCGGATATTGCTGTTTTGTTCTATTTCATGCATACAACAACGATAACGTGTACGTCAATTTTGCAAGGCGACTGTGTAAATAGGCAGATAGTTGTTTCAATTATATGCATGTTTATATTATTTCATGAATTGTACGTTTCAGATGCGCCAGTATTTTTAGATGGTAATGATATTGAACTGGTGTACGCTAAAGAAAATCAGAGGTATGTAAATAATAGAATTGGAGAATGGTACATTATATTTGGGCGTGTGGTCCTGGCATAGAATAGGCCACTCTTTCCTTTCCCGTGGGTGTCGTAAAAGACGACTAATGGACGACGAGGGATGGGCAGCAGCGTCCCTATTAAGACATCTCTAAAACCTAACTGCGGTTGCCAATCTGCCTGCCAAACGTGGCAATTACTGGCAAAACCCCTAAAGAGGAGGCTTATGTTCAGCAGTGGACGGTTAAGGGCTGATATGATGATGAAATTATATTTGTGGTTTATATACATAGTTTATTCAGAGTTAGATTTTTTTTATAATTACATAATTATAAAAAAACTTATCGTGATAATATTTCAATCATCACTGACAATTTTCATTCGCTTAATTTTATAAAACTTATTAATAAAATATATGCAATCGAAAACTTTTCAATTATCATCGATTGAACTAATAACGAGAGTTCAAGCGATTGCAAATTCATTAGTATGAGTATCAATAAAAGCAATTGATGATAGAAGTATGCTACGTATTAATAATAACTGATAAACAGATATATGTATAAAATGAATCTATATTATTATGTATAATATAATAATATTTCGGGAATTGAACATGTAGTTATCAGATAGTAAGGAGATGAGTTAAGTTGTAAAGTCTTTCCCAAATTTATTTTGTCTACTGCCCACTTTGAGAATAAATTATTTCTTAGCGCCCCCATTTTTCCACCTACTTAAAAACCACTATTACTTCAAGATAAACAAATTACCCCCCAAGCCTCTACACAACGCCCCTATTTTTTTTTCTGGGTCTCTTACTCTGGGGGGCGCCCCTTTAGGCCTGCAGCGCCCACAAGGGGGCGTTATTGCCCATTTTGGGAAAGGCTGGTCTATAGTATACTATTATACATTCGCACGGTTAGACGGAATTTTAGAAAATAATATATTGCCAATGTTACTCGTTGATAATTTAGCTTTTTATATGTGTAATATTTTTTAAAATCAGTTATGTAGTTTTTGAGTTTTTATATTATAAACAAACAATCAAATCTTTCCTCTTTATAGTATTGGTATAGATGACAGTGTTTATTACGAACATTTCTCGAGTTACTCAAGCTTTTTTTATGCAATTTAGTATGTCTAATAAGCTGACGGTCCACCTGATGGAAAGTGGTAACCTATAGACATGAACAGTACTACGGACATAATAGAGTGTACTGTTTTACCCATGATATTTTCCATGCTTTGCCATTTCTAAAGAGTAAGGCGTTATGCCTCTGTACCCTGTAAATTCATTGTCATATTCCATCCTTCAAACCAAAACATAGCCATGCAAATACAACTGTTTGACTGTAGAATTACGAATGGGATAGTGGTTCCTAAGCAAACTTTTGTAAAGTCTCTCTCTGGTAAATATTTATGTTTATTTAATTTTTTTGCAAAAAAAAATTTTCTCATATTTTTTTATGATACTTAGAACGGCGAACAAGCTGACAATCCGTCTGATAGCGTTAACCGTTACTTGTAGACATGAACAGCTCTGTGAACATACCTTACAGAATACACTGTGACACCCATCTGTTGCCAAATCTGGGAACAATGATCTTATGCCTCCGTACCATGTGATTTTACTACTATATCTTATACTTCAAAATGAAACACAATGCTTCATTGTAGAAACATGAGTGGGATAGAGGTACCTATGCGTACGAATTTTGTACAAAGTCACCCTCTGGTAAAATATTTACATTTATTTAATTTTTTGCAGTGTTGATTTAGTCTGTAGTGCCAGCGCGTTTCCAAAATCTAGTTACCGGTGGTTTCATTACGAAGATGATCACACGTTATTCGAGTATTCACAGAAGCAAATTATTGACTCGCCTGATACCGGCGAAGCAACATTGTCGATAGTGGCGGATAAATCGAATTACGATAGAAGGTTCTTATGTAGAGCGACGAACGAACTGGGAAATAATTCGAAAACTTTCACTATAGTACAGATGGAAAAACCTGACAAACCCAGTGAGGTATTAACTTAAATGCAAACTTTTAAACATACAGTATGTTAAGAACTAAGTTAAGCTTACATGATAAGAATAATCTAGTTAATGACTTAAAATTATCCAGAACTTTGGAACATTTTTTTTTATAATGTTAATAACTAGGTGCTCACATTCTACACTAATATGACTATAAATAAATACAATGAAATTATTGCACAGGTAACGTACGTAATTAATATTGAGAAGTCTTATATTTATTTTAGGTCAACCTCGTGCAGTCATCTGATACCGAACTAGTATTAAATATCTCATGGTTCGATATACATTTTCCTATAGATGGCAAGTATTCAACAGTATATATTTGTTTTAAATTTTAGAAAAAATATTTTTTGTACAATTAGGAATGGTTAATAAGCTAATCGTAAGTATGTGGTAAGAACAATTTAATGTATAAATCTTTAATTTCATTAATGCATGTATTGGTTTCACGGAACCAAAGCAGTTTGTTGCACCGTGTGATTTTTCATTATCAATTGACTTTAAAAAGGAGGTTCTTAATTCGATTGATTTTTTATGTTTGTTCCCTCATAACTTTGTCAGTTGTAAACCGATTGCGAAAATTCGTTTTTATATGAAAGTACATGCTCACAGATTGGTTTCATAGAAATTGTATCAAAATCGGTTCAGTAGATTAGTTTTTAAATCAAAATAAATTTTGCTTCAATTGAAGTTCGTTTTTTTATGGTACATAATCCTAAATTACAACACATATGTACATCAATGATTATTAATAATTTTAAAGGCATTGAAGCGCAATATATGGTAGTAAGTGGAACAAATTTAAAAAGAAAAACTCCTAGAGAAGCTGAATGGAAAAGAGGAAAACAGAGTGAGTTAGTTAAAGTCGACGATGGTGAAGGTATAGTATTTGTTCTGTAAGCACGTTCATATATAGGTAATAGACGTAAGGGTAATGTGATAATTTATAAATTAATAAATAAACTTAAAAACATAAAATAAACGTGCTTATGATGTTCATCTTCGTAAGCTGTAGGTATGCTCGAAAATCTTTCATTTTCTTAAGAGGAGTTTAATTATTAGCATTGGCATTAAATGTGAATAAATAAATTATAATTGGAAATATATTTCCTTTCTATGTTACAAAAATATAAAGGCAGATTGTTAAGTAGTATATAAGTATATAAAGGCAGTTGATAAGAAAATATGAATATATACAATAACTGATTAATTAGTGTCAGTATTTAATATTTATTCGTGCTTAGGTTTACTTTGTTTAACTTTGTTTTCAACTCAAAATACATATAATCAACATTTGACATTTTCTGTCGAAATCATAACATTAATATGTCTATAAACACTGTTTCCATTGTCTAAGACTTATTGTTTCTTAATTTGATGGGATTATGCATACACCGAAAAACATATCGACGTCGGAGTTGTTTATTCTAATTTTATTTAAATAAGTTAGGTATATAGGTAGATAAAATATTTATTTTGTCGACCGGCATTTATAAAGTTAATAAACTATTCACTTATAATTAAAATATTATGATAGGTTATACGATTATTACAGTGAAGGTATCGTGTTCGCGTGGAACTAATTTCCCTTTTTTGAGAAATTATAAATTTTGTTTGTAGTGGATTCTTTATTTATTTATTATTATTTAAGCGTGTAGTATGTTACATGATTTTTGGCATAATATCATCGTTCAATAGTTTCCAAACCTTTTCAGAAAATATATATTCATTGCAAGATCTAGAGGAAGAGACGGAGTATTGGATTCGAGTTCGAACGAAGAATGATATTGGTTACTCACCTTGGTCGAGTCCAATATCAGCTTCTACAACAAAATCTGACACAACGTTACTTATAGTAACAATGGAAACAGTAACTGAGAGTGAAACAGAGACAGATGAAGAAAAACTAGATGAAGAAACGAAGGATAATAATGAAGGCGAAGTATCATCACACAATTTTGAGGGTACATTCTATGGTTTATTTTTTATCGGTGGCATATTTGTTTTAGGGTTTATTTGTGTGTTTGTTATGAGAATGGTATAAGAAAGATTTTATTATGTATAGGTATATTTTTATACTTTGTACAACCAATAGTAATATCTATTTATATAACCGTCTAAAACTAATCTAGTCTTGCAATATTAAATTTATTATTTTGGATTATCTCATAATCTTAGGTTATTTGTTGATATTAATACATAATTATTCACTGAATACACTCAGTATATGTTAAGTTGAATAAACAGTCAATTTACATAATAAAAAAATAAATAATATCTACTTTTTAATTTAAAAATGAATCGAATCTGTTTTTTTTTTTACTATTTGAAATACTAATAATGCGCATTCAAATGTTGATATGTTGATGTTATACGATACATAAAATTATTTTTTAACGCTTCTGAGTTTTTGATTTACAAAATTTATGTTCTCATAGTATATTGTATTGCATGTATAGATTTTTTGTTTTGGGTATCGCTAACGATTTTTACTTTAGTTATTTTATTTATTTAACTCTTTATTGCACCATAAACAAAAATATACAATGACAATTGAACAATTCAAGTGAAATACAGTAACATAAATACAGATTGAAATATACACATAAAGGTACAAAAGGTTGTCTTATCGCTAGGGCAATCTCTTAAAGACAACCTTTGGTTGAAGGAGAACAAAAAGAATATTTACTATAAGAAACGATGCAATTAAGCATTATAAGGTACGATCTTTTGGTTTATCCTACAACCAATGAAAGGCGAGTGCATTTTATAAATATTTTTATTGGAGGCAGAAAATTTCAGTGTATGTAACATAACAATCAGTGTACACGTGATACGCAGCTAACACAACTTATGTACATGGATTTATTCAAGTCCAACACACTGAACACTTTGCGTTGAACACTGTTATAAATATTCTATAAATAAATATTCAACTACGTAAAAATTGGATATTTTTATTTAAGCCGAAACATGTACACATTTTAAAATTCATAAATTTTTAACGTAATACCAAATGGAACAATTTGTACGAAGTCTGTGTAACCCTTAAATTTAGTGATACAAGGCTTCTTAAGCTAATGTTTTAGACAAAAACTAAATGCAAAAAAAGAAATAATTATATGATTAAAAAAATCAGTCTTCCTGAAAATTTTGACAACAAATTGACAAATGATTTAAATATAATTGCATTTAGTAAATAGTATTTTATGTTAACATTTATTGTAATAATTTCAACCAATTGTTTGATATAGTACCTGCATAAATATTGTCATATAGTTCAATAATTGTATTATTTACTTCCTCAGCATTAGAGGTAGAGGAGTAATTTATTCTAAAACGTAATCACAAATAAACAATTACTTACCTAAACGTCTATTCGTATGTCAGTGCAATATCGTATTATCATTCTGAAATAGTATTTTCGGAGTCAACATTAATAAATGCATATAAAGTAAAATTTAAAATTTAGTTTAAATTAATAATTTTTGTGGGATTTATAATAATAAAATATCAGCTTCCAAATTATTGCTATAAAATCTTGTTTTTCACAAATAAAGTAAAAAAGAAAAGGAGAAAGAATTTTGTTCTTTTCCAATAAATGCAAGAATAAAAAATAATTTCGTAAAATTATAATGGAGTAGCAATTATTTCCATGACTACCGCTTATAGACAGCCGAACTTAATTGAAATACTTGTATTAAAAACAGGCGTAGAGGAAAATCTCGTTTGGTATATTACATATTTAATTTAAAAGTGATAAAAATTCTATTTAATCATATGATAGTGTTGTTGGAAAATGATCATTAATATGTTATTATAATGATCACAATTCGTGATTAAATAGTATGAAATATTGATGTAAATTTCGCTTTATAATATAGATAGTTTATGTATTTACAAAAAATAATTTAAAATTAGGATTAGGTTTACTCCAAAAATACATTTTCTGCCAATCTCTTTATACGAACCTACTATGTATAATAATATTATATATAATAACTTACAACCAAGTTATACAACATAGTGACTAAAAATGGTAATGTTTACATCTTTATTTACATAGCGTAAAACTATAGGTAAAATCAAAACCATTTGTTCATCTTTTTTAATAGTGGAACTGAATATTATCACCAAAGAAATACGGGTCAAAAAATAAGAAAATTTTGAGGTGTTCAAAAGAAGCTCAAAATTGCTTATTATTTTTCGACTCATATTTGTTTGGGGAAAATGTTTGATTTCATTGGCAGATCACATAGAAGGATGCCTTATGTTTTAAATTCAACCACAATAGGTGACCATTCTATTAAATGGATCGTCAGCTTCTTTGATGTTCTAAGATAAAATATCATAGTAAAAAATATAGTAGGTACAAACTTATTAATTGTTCAAAAAAGTCTGTGGTTACTACAATAAAATACAATAAGAAGTATTTAATATATAGTCCAAAATAATTATGATTTAATCAAATCATTTTTTTTCATTTTGATGAAAGAAATGTTACAGATATCTCTATTTATAACGTAAAGCACCCATTTAGGAAGTGGACGCGACGAATATTGAATTAATAACAATTTTAACAATTTAATGATCAGACTTGAATAATTTCAGAGCAAAGAGGTATCAGCTATTAATACCTATCGATATAAATATTTATTTATAGTACTAGCTATTTCTCGCGGCTTTGTCAGCGTACATATATAAAATTAAGATATAACCTACTCGTGTACTAAATTATATTCAAACCCGTTCAGCCATTTAAATGTGAATGAGTAACAAACATTTAATTATTCTAATGTTCAAACATTATTACAAACGTTCATTATTCAACAGTAGGTATCTTCAAATATTTGTCTTTTACTTAGAAAAAAATTATTAAATGTCATGTAAATAAATATATAACAATGTATCCTGTAGCATCTATTAATATTTTATATTATTTCATTAAATACTCTTTATTGTCAACTCTCGATAATATCTAAGAAATGTTTTTAATTATCAAAATGTAACAGATAGGAGATATGACAGTATTAGATATGAAATATCTAATACAGTCATATCTCCTATCTTTTTAAAAAATCTTCGATTTGGTCGACCTGTTTCAGCACACCTGCAATGCCGCTGGTGTTGTGGGTGATCATGGGCGGCGGTAGTCACTTACATCAGGTGAGCCGCATGATTATTTTTTTTATTAAATTTAAACAAGATTTAATTTGGGATACTTAATTATTATATAATATTGATAACTAGCGATTCAGCCCGACTTCGTACGGGTAAATAGATTTTTTGAAAATCTTATATAGTTTATGTTACTCTCTGATAATGTAGTTTTCTATAATTGAAAAAAAATTTAAAATCCTTTAAGTGATTTTTAAAATAACATTGCAAACTAACAGACAATCATAATTTTCCTCTTTATAATATTAGTATAGACAATCTTTGAAAAATATTCACTTATAAAAGCAACTTTTATAAATATTCCCTGAAAACAAATTAATTCTTGACATTCTTTCAAAATTATTCAAGTCTGATTATTATTAACGTTTTGATATAAATTTAGGTACATTTGTTCCATATTGAAAAGGCATTAGAGACGTTAAATAAGTAGAAATATACTACTAACTAACTTTTTTTTTATTATTAACGCATATATTTTTCAATTACTTTTGAGGATCATAACGAGATTCATCCATTTTTGGTCTTCTGATGTTATCGAAGACTTTTATTATTAATTATTATCACATAAATTTTTAACAATACCTAATTTAAATATTGAGGCCATTGGTATATATAGGGTACGAGATGAACACTTATTTAATTAAAACCGAGTAATAGACAAATACGTTCACTATCTAAACGAAACTTGGGGTGTTATACTTGGGGATATAAGAGTGGTAGCTATTTAGAATCTTAAAATTCTACATTATGTTTTATTTATTTACAAAATTTAAATAAGATACAAAGCAGTAGCATCTAATTACGAATAATTTTTACAATATTTATCAAATCTTTGGTATCAACATTAAAATAATTAAAAATAAAACAACAACGTTGCTTATTAAAAATCATTGATCCCCAAAGCATTGCCAAGTCTCTGTAATGTTGCCAGACTTAACAGCTGATAATCCACTAACTTATTACCACATCAATACTTTTAACATAATTATTATTAATAATAACTTTTCCTAATACATAGCATACCTGAATGAAATTGTTGATATAATAATTTGTAGATATATTATAACTGAATTGTTCTTAAGAGTAAACGAGTATTTATTCCTTATAAAATTATTGACAGATCAGCAAAAACATTTTTTTCAAAAATTCTAAACCATTTCTTCCAAGCACACGCGAGAAATAAATTGAACATCGATATTTTAATTCTGGCAACATTGAGCTAGATTTAATATAATCCTGTGGCGATTAAAGCGATAATGACTAAGATGATGCTGCTTATTAGCCTAATGGCGTCGTCCGTGGTACTTGGATTTGGTGTTATGATCGTCCACTCCGAGTAGCCAGCAGCATTACGCGAGCGCACTCGAGCGTGGAAAGTCGTACTGTTGTTCAGAGGACCCACTTCGAAGAGTGTGTCTGTAATAAGAATTGCGCAAATTTGAGTTCTAAGTAAAATTACAGGGTATGGAGGCATAATATTGTAATCCTTAGGAATGAAAATGCATGAGGGATACCATAGGCATAATGGTCTATTCTAGGATGTTCATAGTGCTGTTCATGTTTTTCATGTCACGGTTTATAGTATTTTCCATCAAGTGAGCCGTCAGCATTTTTCCCATTCTAAGTATTATAAAAACAAATAATAAAAGTAAGTATTACCATTAGAAACTTGAAATAAAACCCTATACTAATTTGCATGACCAGCGTGGTAATAGCTGGTGATATCCTCCTTACGAGGAGATTTATGTCTATGAATGAAGATAAACCAAAAGGAATTATTGGGACGGGAGAGAGCTTAGATTTTGTAATATTTGTTGTTGCAAGGAGCCACTGGATGCAAATGGCGCAGAATCGCTCTCTATGGAGATCTATCTTCTACAGTGAACGATAGATGGTTTACAACAATGACGATAGTGTTGATAAAAGCTCATAAATTTATGAATCAATTTAAAGAAATCTAGTACCTTCCGCAGACAATATGTCTAGATCAAAATCTTCCGCTGAGTCCCAGTCAGGTGGTACACCTTCTTCGACTGGAACCAGCTGGAAATGGAATCCTGAAACATAATTTCAAACATGTAAACAAAAGATATTCATAAAGTACTTATTATATTATATAAGCTCCTTTTTCACGCTTCCTTTATCCGCGCTTTCACTATTCGCTGATTAAAAAATTAGGACCCAATTCCTATATTCGCGGCTAAAGATTTCTTTATTCACGGATTTAATCGGTGCATATTTTTAAAAAGGTTTCAATGCCTTTGTAAACGTGTCGACAAAATAAGTAATAAAAAAGTAAAACAGACCTTATACAATTACGCCTAATGTATGTTGACAAATGCTATTGCCACTGTATAAGTAGTTCGGCTTTCCTTATTCACGATTTTTGTAGTCGCGGCATATTCACGAAATGTATATCCCGCGAATAAAGAACTTTTACTGTACATTTGACAGTCATTAAACTGTACTATGTTGCGTGTAAAAAAATAAGTACTGTTCTTTCTATGATCTTAACTATTAAATCTATGCAGTGCTCAAAATGCAGTTGGTTTTGATAACAGAAAGATGAGGGTTCAAATCCTGTCGTAAGATCACCCAAGAAATTCACGTTTGTGTCGTGACGTTTTGATAAAATTTCATTATACTATATGATACTGTTTAACATACTTTTTCTTCCTGGCATACTTTCTTTTTTCTTATGTTTCTATAAATATGTATATACCTATACCTACATAGAAATTTTGAGTAATATAACTGTTAGTAATGGAGACAAGCGACCCCATTGCTAGCAATATATCCTATCAGAATGATTGCCATGCAATCTCTCGTGGAAATCATCATCATCTCAGCCATTATCCAGCTACTGCTAAATATAGGCAGTGGAAATAATCATGGTTAATTCTGATGAGTTTATGTTTTGTCAATTGACTTCATCCTCACTTATCATCTGTCATTAATACTCCGCCATATACCAATAGCGCAGGCGGGGTTATTTTGAATTGAAAAAAACACTCTAATTTCCTATCAGTATTGGTATTCCTTAAATAAGACACAACATTGGGAATACTATTAATATGTATACTAAAGTTTGAAAATACATCCAAATTTCTCTTACCAAGAAGAGTTAGATTTTTGGGATCCGGAGCTACAGTTTCGTCTTGCACCATAGTACACGTGGAGCATATCACATTGAAATTGATATGGGTTGCATTGGTGCCGTTTACCGCCACCTGGATATTTTGGAAGAGTTAATGGAAGCATATTATTTATTATTCATATTATAATCTTAATAGAATGACCGTGTTTAATCTGTAAGAGGAATTAATGCATCTCTTGTATCGACATACATTGCACGAGTTATGAAAGTGCGTGAAGCAAACGTTTGTCTCTTGTTTCAAGTAAGTGCTTGTAAGGATAGAGGCTTTTGTTATTTATTTCTCTGCCTAATCCACAAAGGATTTGGTGTGAGGAAGAAATAAGACAATTTAAGAGTAATATACACATGGAGCTTGGATCTAATATACACTATATAGGGTGAAATCTGAATAATTTGTGTTTTTTTGTGGAAGTATTCTACAATGAATCCGATTATCAAAGAAGATTATTATCAAAGAAGAAAGATTTATCAAAGAAAAAAAAAAACAGATTTAATGGTCTAAAATATAAAAAATGTTTAATTTTTCAACGTATTATTATTTCTACGGGGAAAATGTTTAGTTTGTAGAATACTCTCTGTTAAACACTCTGTATATGAAGAATACAACATATAAATTATATCTACTTAAATTTAAATCAAGTTACACAACATTATAATATTTCGCTTCGTGTAATAAAACTTGAAGATATATTCGAAAAGTTTTATATTATTGCGATTTCAAAATTCAATACATGACGACGCTTTGGAATCTTCAAGTTGTATATTCACACATTTCTAAAGAATATCTTATATATAATATTCAGTATATGATTGTACATTTCTATTCTCAACTTAATATTAAAGTTGGACCACAGTCTAAAACACTCTTTCCCCATTAGTAATCTAACGTGTTTATTCTAAAGACGTTAGACCACTGTTTGTTTCTTACATTGTATTATTTTGATTGAACCGTGTTCATACAACTTTTATATGTTTAATTATCAGTTGTAATTTCATTCATTACGCAAGTTGAACTTCAGCTTTTGATTTTTTAATTTTGATTCAATTTGATTGTTAGTAATAACGAGTTGCGGAATATTGATCAGGTCCACTTTCACAACTTGAAAATAATTCCACTTTTATCTCTTAAAAAATCAAAAGTGATGGTAATACATAAATTACAGAAAGTGCAAGAAATAAAAATTCTTACGAAATCTGGCGGATTTGGTTTGTCGCCTAATGTGACGTGAAAGACGACGGATTGCCTCCCCCTGTTATTTATCGCTGTACATACGTATTCGCCCGTGTCCTCATCACTGCGCATTCTTAATATCAGTACCGAGGAACTGCCATCCGCAGCGGTGATTACCTATAAAGTAGTATATATAAATAATTAACAGGCATATCAGTCGTATAGATCAATTTTCAGGCTTTCACCAAACTAAACCTAATACAATCTACCTTTTAAGATCACGAGTAATGCATCATGTACTAAATATGTATAAATATTTTTGTACCAGGGGGAGACTTTGTACAAAAGTCGATTGATTTTTTTTCTGTCCCATTCGTGTTTCAACCGTGAAGCAGTTGTGTTTGCATAGCTGTGTTTCGGTTTGAAGAGTGGGATATGGCGTGAATTTACTGGGTACAGAGGAATAACACCTGAGTCCTCAGGAATGGCAATGAATGGGGGTATAGGGGGGTCTCTGTTATGTCCATGGTAATGTTCATGTCTATAGGCGACGGTTACTACTTTCCATCAGGTGGGCCGTCAGCTTGTTTGCCATTCAAAGTTGTATAAAAAAAATGTCTAAATATTATGTTTATTTTTTGATATTTACCATATCTTTAGGATCTGTGATCACAGGATATTTCAGATTTTTATCATTAATAGTTAGTGAATGCTAAGATTTACTTGTTAAACCTAAGATTTACTAATGTATGGATTTTTACAGTAACAAATTTTATCAAAGTCTTTAGCAATGGTAATGCATGAGGGATAGTATAGTCACAATGAATTTTGTAATATCTGTTAGTCTCTAGGGAAAACCTTGGCAGGAAGCTTATTTTACACTCTCCTTTGAAACCGCATTGTACGAGACCATTTAGGTTCTAGCGGATGAATTCGATGTATTTGTGGGTTGCTCTTCATATATATTATTTTATTTTGCCCGTTCTCACCTTGCAGTTTAAAATATTTTTTAACGACGTTTATTTACTGGAAGTACTGAATCTGACCGTTTAGGTTAGATTTTCCTGCCTAAAGACCTATCTATGTTTTTTAAAAATATTGTTGCAATTTAAAAAATCTACTGGATTTATATTTTATATTTCCTAGGTAATAAAATGGTAATAATATTAGTTAGAAATAACTACATGGGACAGATAAAGGGAATACTAGGTATCCTGTTGTATAGGAAGGTCAAAGATATGGCTGTGAATAGAGCAGGCCAGAGGAAAATACATAAATTAGTTGCCCCAACATGAGGAAACTCTTAAATAAAATAAATAAAGAAAATTATAATAAATTAATAAACTTGTCCATTTCCTGGTACTCATTTATCGATGAATTTTGGAACACGTTTTGACAAACACTTATATTATATTACATATTCTGAACGAGACAAAGAATTTACCGTATCATCGGATGTAATTGATCCATCGTAATTATTGTGTCGCTTGTGCCACTTGTATGTAGGAGGTGGATTCGCTAAAGCGCTGCACGTTATGTTTTTGCTGAAATATAAAAAAAAAAAATATTAAAATTAAAAAAAAATGCTATAAAAATCTACCAATTTAAATAAGTTATTAGACTCATTAAGTGTAACAATAAAGTATCACTTGATTAGTCCTCAGAAAACGAGCTGGAAACTCGTTTTCGACATTAGATGAAACTCTTCTCACGATGGTAGTTTAACAGGCAAAAACGTACTGTTTTATTTTATACCATTTTTGATGTTAACACAGTTTTTTTTTATAAATCAAAACGCGATTTTTTGTCAGTGTTTCAAATAATTGGATAAAGATTTTCCTAAGCATGTCGATTTTTTCAATTTGAATCTATTGTTTCTTATATAATATAAACATACATATATACGTGTTACTTATAAATTAATATACATATATTAATTAAAATGACTGATTTAAAAATGAAAATATATTTACACTCACATATATGCACATAAATCAAAGTATTCATTAAAGTTCATAATAATCGTAATGCACTATTTATCTTGTTCTTTCAAATAATCTTAAAAAATAAATTATGAATTGTTTTTATTTTTTAATATTAATTATAAATACTGGTACCCCAATTTAGACATACATAGATAAAATAACTTGACCTGTTTTAGGGAAGCTTTTGTATGCAGACTATATAACTTAAGTACTACTGTTTTTAATTATTCAGTATTTATCAATAATACTTGAGAATGGAATGGAATTTGATTAAATTTTATGAATAGGCCTTGTAGCCTCGAGCGGCAGCGAATTTCCCGATCACATAAAATAATAGAAATTGTTTAATACAGATTACTTACGTTTCATTCAATATCCCGTATACTTCTTCGGTCTTGTATAATGTGGATCGTGTCTCTGGGTTATACAAAACGGGCTTATCTGAAATTTAAAAGAAACAATTCGGCTTACATTTCTCATTTTTGTGCTATTATATAGTAGGTAGAATATTTCTATAATGTCCTAGCGTTCTAATCTAGTAGACATGAAGTCGGCTAGATTAGAACGCTAGAACATTTATATATTTTTTTATTACTACAAAAGTGGCAAACGAGCATATAGCCCGTCTGATGGTAAACAGTTACTATAGGCTCTGAACGCTTGCAACACTACGGTTGTCACATGCGCATTACCGACCCTGAAGAAATCTTAATATATCCTTTTTGAAGAACCCCATACTGTAGTGGGTCTCTAGGAAAAACTTTAGCAAGGAGTTCATCCCACAGCCTAAGCGTGAGGCTAAATACCCTGCCGATGGTGAGTGGTGCGATGATAAAAAGTGACTGTAAGCATCATTTCAAACAGTTCTCCAGAACACAATCCGTTATGAAAATTATGTCAACATAATTAACATTTTTGATACTTTTACCAGTGAAATGAAATTACAGTCAATACCAATGTAGGCATTAAATATAATAATTTACTTAAGTAAAAGATTATACTTTACCTCGGACCCATAGTCACCTCGATATTAATGTTTCTCTCAGTATAGGAAAATGTAATGTATGACAGTGAATGAGAAGAATAAAATAATTACGCCTCGGGAGTGGACTCGTGATATCATTAATTAGTTACTATGGCCGGTGTGACCCCGATCAAAGCATCCAGATAACCTTATATAAATGATCGTGTTAATTCTCATATATTTAACACTCAAAATTATTCAATGCGATCATCTTAAACCATAATCTGGTGCACACAGAGCTTTATTTATTTGCAAAACTGTATGGTATAGACAATATAGATTTATGTATGTTGAAGCACTCACAGTTTAGTTGTGCTTGTTGGTTACCGTGCACGAGGCAAATTCGAGTAATAAAAATAAAAGACTATCTAACAGCAACATTTCCTTCAATTTGGACAAGTTAATCCCTCTAGTACCGAATGTAACTACAAAAAAGAACCATATAGATTTTCGAGTGATTTTTAAAATGAGCAGGAAATTCGATGATCAATATACTTATCTCCATTATATCCAATTTCAGTCGTAACCACAGAGTAACTTGCATACTTATAAGACGATTTTAAAAAAGATACAAGATGTTGATAGGATTAGCGGTAGTGGATTAGCTAATTTTAGTGGTCAATAAATGGCTCGAATATATTTGAATTCATCTCAGGTTGTGAAGACTCCGTGTTAGCCGTTAGAATTATTATTAAGAGCAATTAATTCAAATCTTATACAATTTACAATATGATACGATACGAAACGGTAATTTGCTTTTTTATAGATTATAACGCCTCAACCAATCGTCATGAAACTTGGCACAAATATAATATTTGGCATGGAGAAGGATATATATTTATTTAATTATTTACACGCAGTTGAATGCACATTAAGCATTATAAAAAAAGGTGAAAGTGACTAATTAATGTGGAGGCAAAAGGCGCTGTCAATAAACATAAAATTTTACTCAGTTTCTTTATATAACGAAAGTGTAGCAGTAAATACGGATTAGTGCAATTTCCCATGGGAACCAGATATATGGATTTGTGCGGGTACAACTGAATAACATTATAATTTGACGTCCATCTTCTTTACATATAGGCATCTTATTTATTTATTAAAATCAGCGCCGGCCCTAGCTCTTAATCAGAGTAGAGCAAAATTGTCTTTAATGCCCTTTATTTCACGTAAATTCTACGTTAATTTTTGGGCAATATTACTTTCACTACCTCTCAAAATGCGCCATCAACATAGTTCCTTTGGAAATTGTTTTTCGCATTTGACTTTTAAGCGTCCATTGTTATCTGGCGTCTAGACCGCGATCGTTCCACTCGTTTTACCCCTAGGGTACGGTAGGCCGTCAATGATTATAATAATTAGCTATTACCTGCAAGTTTGCCCATGTAATTGGTTTGTTAATTAACTGGAGTAAATAAAAGCCTATGTCCTTCTCCATCTTATATGGTACGTGTATACCAAATTTTATAATAATTGGTTAAACCGTAAAACGTTAAGAGGTAAACAAATTCATTTTCACAATTATAATATTAATAAAAATTACTAATACAGAATATATTAAAAAAATTTAATGATTTATCTCTGAATAATACATAAATACTTACGCTTCACAAAGAGGTACACTGTTTTATCGGTATAATGAGATAATGCTTTTTGAGTCACTTTGCATACATATTCCCCGACGTCTAAGTGACTTAAGTTTTTAATTTCCAGTTGATAATTATGAGGTTTTACTTTTTTCATCACGTATTTGTCTCTATCAAAGGCTGTGAATAGAAAAAATAATGGTATTATAAATATTTTTAACATTCGTTCGTTATAGTATTATAGGTAATATATAATTTCGCTTTTAATGGAGACGAAATAAGAATAGAATGTGTCACCACTTATTTTTATGCTATTGGAAAATTATAAAAGAATAAACTATAGATTGATAAAAGAGAAGAAATAAAATATAATATCATAAGTAATAGAGTATTTTTTGTAATTTTCACAATGATGATCATGTCGATTACATTTTTCATAAGGTGACACCCGTCAGATTGTTTGCTGTTTTAAGTTGTATACAATATAGTAGAATAATCTTTTACTTATGCAGAGAAATATTATGATATGGTGTATTTTGTTATGTTAACTTTACCATCAATGGGCTTGCTTTCTCTGTACCATTGGACAATTGGTGCCGGATGACCTTCAGCTTCGCAGTCCAGTTTAGTCGATTTTCCTTCATCGCCTTCTCTGGTTTCATTTCTATTAGTTATATTTACTTTTACTGAAAATGAACAAATAGTTTTATTTTTAGTCTGTAGCGGAATAATTTGTACTAATTGATTGCCAGAATCACTGATTCATTAAATCATCTTTAGTAAATTGGAATATTTGAATACTAAATTGATTTATTTGTCAAAAAAAGTTTCTAGAAATAAAATATTTATAAAGTTATCATCGATCATAATAAAGATTAGAAGTTTACAAAGAAGAAACAACTTTCTATTATGAATCGAGAATTTTTATTTGAATTTTAAGAAGAAACATCTATTTTTAGTACAAATAATAGTACCTAGAGTTGATAGAGACTATAAAGATATCGCATTGATAGAAACGAGAATAGGTATGTTATGATCTGTTGTTCTGGAGAGCTTTCAAAATATGTATACAGGGATAAGAAAACAAAAACAATATACAACTAGCTGACTCAACAAACAATGTTTCATCCTCTACCCTCACACACCGGGTCCATTTTTTCTTATCGGGATGAAAAGTATCCTACTTCTTCAGATGGATGCAAACAATATATATTTACTAAATTTTATTAAAATAAATTGATCGGTTTGCAAATGAAACTTCAAATCATCTTTATTCAAATATACTTGTTTATAAGCACTTTTAAATCGTTATTTCTTTATATTTCAGAATGGAATTCAGATTCAGAAAGTTGTTATCTGTTGAGAAGAATCCGTAAGAAGCTCAACAGTTATTCTTTTATATCTTTGTTAACATTATTTAATTATTCATTAGTACAAATATGTGTACATGGCGGACATAATGTTAAAAGCATTCTTTCCCAGTCAACCATAGGGAATATCAGAATACTCGAATGCGGTTAGTAATTATGGATATACATACATACTAAAATTACATATATAAACAAATAAATATATATAACAAATATACTTACACATATATGACATATACTATATTATACACGAAATTGAGAATAATATAAAGCACTTACTGTTCGTGTAAAGTAAAAAAGTGAGCGTGAACGTTGTTTTTGAAAGATATTAGGTGTATTTATTTAAATGCACTATGTCTAAAGTTACAAGATCGTTAAAAGCTCATGCATGAGCAACTAATATCATGCACCATGTAGTTATATTTGCATTGGCAGAATGTAAATCATTAAGACGTATACATACCTCCAACGAGAATATCGATGGTTTCATTCAGATCTCCGGCTTTACAGGTCCAACTGCCACTATCAGATATCTTTATTTCATGAATTATAAGAGGGATTAAGATACCAGTATTTTCTTCCTTTCTTTCCACGTATACTCTGTTATTTTTCACTGACCGTTCTTTAACTACTCCACCAGCTGGATTTCGCCATTCTATGGGCTGAAATGTGATAAATAATAATAATAAAAAAAATGACAATAAAGACTAAGATAATTGGATTTTTAAGACGTTACGTTTATATTTAATAAAATATACAATTCTGTGTATCTGGAATTTGTAAATATAATAGCATTTGAAGAATTAGATTCCAAGAAAATATCAAATATTAGTATAAAATTTCCACTGCGGTGAGGTCGGATTAACAATTAAATAATGGTAAGGTGGCTTCTTAACTTTTCAAGTGACTTCAAATAAAATTTTTAAACGAATTTCACTTGCTTTATAATTTACATTTTTAAAATATTCATTTACATAATTCATCCTAACGTTTCAGTCGTCGACGTAAACCGTGATATTACGAGTATTATTTGGACCAACGATGCGGTAAGTAAGCACGTGTATGTTGTTTATATAAGAATAAAATCCGTTCATTGTGTAGGCACACAAAATAAATTGTAACTAAAGATATAAAATACACATACCCCTTCTATATTTATTGCTTTACAAAAAATAGCCTTTGTTTCTCCGGCGTTGAATACCGTGGATCTTGCCATTACTTGCAGCCGTGGCTCTGTGTCATCGGGTTCTGTTGAAGATACTGAAACAATATAAAAATATATTATATTTTGTATAAGTTAACATCTAAGTTTCCCAATTAAATTTTTAAGTAACTAATTATTGTTAGTAAAATTAATACATAGATTATGTTAGATAATATATATATATATATATATATATATATATATATATATATATATATATATATATATATATATATATATATATATATATATCTTAATAATATCTATAATCTTCTTTAGTCGTATTAAAAATAATATTTTGTTAACAAATAGCATCCATATTTTCAATATCGTTAAGAGAAAAAAACGAAGAGGTTTCTGTTGGTATGTTAATATTAAATTACTGCAATATTGATTTACTCATATTTGCTTAGAGCCTAGATAGTTGCGTATAGCGCGGGTTCAGAGATATTTTCCCCCACGAACGCTTAGGTTATGGAATTATTTCTTCAGAATCGGCATCGTGCGCGTAATACTCCTGGTATTGCAGACGTTAATAGGTAAGGGTAACATCAGGTAGGTCGTATGCTTGTTTGTCACTTCAGTGGTATAAAAAAATATTTACAAAAGACGCATAGTATATACTCGTATTAACAAAAACTGGATTATCAGGGTAGTCTTTGTTAAATTTCGTCTCACTAATTGAGTTGAGGAATAATGCATTAATTAGAGAATGAATTGACTATCCTCGGCAAACAATTACTTAATAATACGGCTAATTCTGTTAAAATTTTTGGCTTATTGCCTTAAACCTACAAAGATTTTAAAAGAGAAAATCATAACGTGAATACATTTCTTATTCCAATAAGTAAGAAGGAAATAAATCATTTTGACGCTTATTGCATTTATGACTAACAACCAACAATAACCTCTGAACATTTTCTTTTCAAAAGTACAAAACATTGAATATAATTAATCTGATTTGATGGGCACAAATCTTTCATGTCAGCACAGCAGCTATGTTTTGAAAAATGGAAGTAAATATTTTTATAGCATAAAAGAGTTATAAGGATAATAATGAAGTCACAGAGATACAAATTATTTGTATCTTTATGACTTCATTATTATCATTTTATTATCTTTTCTCCTTTTGTTTTTCCTTAAGTATTTTGTAGAATGGGCCATTTATAATTTGTCCCATTTTAACAGAAACGTGCATAAATTTTTTTAAGTTTCTCTTGATACTCGCGTGATTCCAATTTTGCATTATATATGTGTTTTGTTAACAATTCCTTTCCGCATGCTCGAATCAAAATAGTTTGTCCTTTCTATTTTTCAAATCACCGACACTTTTCTTCAAAACCAAATCTCATTCGCACTACTATTATTATTACGAAAGTGGTCCGCCAGTTTTATTCCGCAAATTATGCACAATGATCGCCGCATTTCGTTCGCCTTTATTCTATTTCTTAGAAATCCAACTCTCGTTACTGTGATTTTTGCGTTTTGTGGGGACAATATGGATTTATAGATAGCTAGCAACACTTTGTGGCTTCCTTTTTCCTCACAATGCTTTGTTATTCTATTCCCGTATTCATTTTGAGGTATATTTCCTATTCGTATTCAATTCACTTTTAAGATATACAACTGTAACTACTACTTATTTTTTTTTACTTTATTTATAAATTGCAAGGGATTTAAATGTAAATAGCAGAAATTTTTATTTTATAAATCTGTTTTAACTTTATCTTTTAGATTTTCGCGTTGCATGGTCGCATGGTTTATCTTTTATAAGAGACGAAAATTAATTAATTATATTATCTTTATTCACAAGGCTTCGTTATAGTAGAAAAGCGCAATTTTTTCTCAAAAGACTTTCTTCATGAAGATATTTGAATAGAATATTTTATCAGTACAAGATATTTAGTTTCGTTTAAAGTTAATTGCCTAATTGAAGGTGCTATTTAAATTAATAAAACGGACAGTTAATTAATATGTGTTCTATTTGTATTTTTTATAAGCGTTAACAGTACTGACTTGCATATCAAAATACCAAGGCATATGAAGAGATATTTCGGTTTTGGTGTAGTGAGCCTAAGGCTATGAGAAGTGGCCAAAGTTGATGCTGCATTAAGTAATGCCCAGTGGCGTCCATTAAAGAAATAACTTTTATGAATTCTTTAACTTGTATATTATATAGAATTGTAAGCATGTTATAAGAATGAAATTATGTAAAATGAAATTTATTACACTGTTTCAAGAAAAGAAAAATAATAAATGGAATAAGAGGGCATAAACTAATTATAAATCAAATCATTTCAGTTACGAGTATATATTGTAAAAAAAGGCATTTAATTACTTATAAATAATATTAATTTGTTATAGGTTGTGGACAGACTTTCGTATTAGAAATATAACATTCAATTTTTTATTAAAAAAAATCAATCAGTAGTAACAAAATCATGAAGTAATGATATAACATTTAAGTGGTTATCTCATATTTCTTCTTTTTTGTAATAAAATTTTTAATTAAACCTTATTTTTGTTACAATATAATTAATAAATAAATCTTATTTAATTTAGTTACAATTAAATTAATATGATTTCAAATTCAGCCTTAAAATGGTGCTTGAACTACGGAACTGTGTTATAAATTCGGTAACTAGACTTCAATCGGCTTTTCCATCTTAAGTGCACTAATGGATTCAACTTAACAGTATCTAAGTGGTTCCATTTAGAGATGGTGTAAGAGTAACTTAATAAAATGTAAATAAAATTAAAATAATTAATAATAATGAATTACAGATAGAAATAAGTAAGATCCAAGATTTGTAGACATAAATAATGTTTATGACGTAAAGGAAAAATAAAGTTAATGTGGTGGATATTTTTTAATATAGTTGCGGTAAATAATTTAATAGCATCGTACTATAAGGAAGAAGGTACTATAACGTATAAATGCAAAGAGATATTAAATATTCAATGAACATTCTGTAGCACCCATAATATCCCTTTGTGTAACTAGATGTAATACCAAATCATATATAAATAATAATAAATGTACAGAACAAATAATATCATTAACTGATTGAAAAAAAAAAAAACTTTTAACTGAATATTTTCTAATCAACCAGATATTTTTGTTGACTAGAATATACCGAAATATATCTATAACTTGATTTGGAAATGTTTTGATGTCTTGAATTACGAAAATTTTGTTTTATTACGGAACACTTGTAATTTTTTAATGAGAATATGATTTTTCTTAATTATAAGAATCAAAGTTCTAATACAAGAAGTCCAATAATGTAAATAATACTGAACCTCTTGTACACTGTTTCTTTTAATGTTTCTTTTGCCCTCCAGTCCAAAACACAATAGCTGCATTACTGTTTTACGGTAGAAAAAGGTAAGAAAATGGTAAGTATATTGGTTCTAATTATTGTAGTTCCTACTCTGCTAGAGTTATACAACGAAAATCAGTTGAATAATTGTTCGTTAACTAAAAAACTTTGTATTTATTTTTTATATATAACAAATATAAGTAATTTTGCATGAATCTAACCAGAATGCTAATTAATGTTATTCTTTAATCTTATTATTAAATAACTCGTAAATCGATTTCGAAATGTCGAAGAAATTCGTATTCAATATTCCGAGGCATATATAAAAACATTTAAAATGTCGACAACGCAAAAGCAACTCCTTTCGTGGCGCAGGTGTTCATGGCCGACGGTAGGTGCTTTCTATTAGATGGACCGTCTGCTTGTTTGCCTCCCTAACAATAAAAGAAAAGATACACGCCGGATATAAAATAGTTTTTTTTGTAGTTAAATAAAGAGGAAAAATATCGTGCTTAAAAGAAGAGAGGTATATAGACAGCTTTAGTATGAATATATTTGAGTGAATATATCATGTGTAATATATGCGTCGATACTTAATGTTATATGCTTATGGAAACAAATGACGAAGAAACTGGTGTTTATTTCCAGCAGTCGCAAAATTAGCTCCGTGAAGAATGTGAAACATTCGACACCGCCTTGAATTTTGTTTCTCGCTCGGAAACGACACGACAAATGACTGCGGTTCATTTGACGCGAAGTTGGGTAGCTCACTTATTATTGCTTTGTGTTCGTTATATATATATATATATATATATATATATATATATATATATATATATACATATGTAAAGAAATGTAATAGTAGTTTATATATCAATTAAGTAAGATTATTATTAGCTAAGATTATATAATTAGATATATTAAGTTATTTTGCTTCGTTTGAAGAGTTCTCTATGATTACCCAATGAAGTCTGAAATCAATATATTCTTTTGCAAACCTAAATATTTTATTTTCAATTTTCTAGGTAGCTAATTCAGTTAACCGGTGAATATATACTTGTATACCTACATTTTTGGAAACAGTCATTATTTTTGCATGTTATTTAGTGCTAACACTACCTAATGTTTCATATATAATATTTATAATAAAAGTATAATAATCCATACTTATATACTTAAATATTTAGTAAACAATCTTTGGAATAATTAAAATAACAGTGCCTAAAATAAACAAATGGTCAATATATAAATACTAGATAAATGTATGTAATTAAAAGACTAATATCAAAATAGAAGCATATTTTAAGAGCGTCTCTATAGAGCGGTTCTTTTTATAAGGAGAATTGAAAATTGAGTGTGGAAGACTCAAAAATATACTTTTGGTCGATCAACATCAGACGCCATCTGGGATTTGCCGAAAGGCTTTCCTGCCATATTACATCTTTCAGAAAGCGTCTGTGTGTACAAACTAGCATTTCTAGATGATATCGAAAACTGTCTATGTATATCGTGACTTGTATTAATATTAAATAATTCTAGTGTTAGAACTAAGAAATAAATCATTGTACTACTAGATGGAGAAAATTAAAAAGAAACAGATAGAGAGAGAGAGAGAGAGAGAGAGAGAGAAAGTAAAAGGTAGCAAAGAAAACAGATTCGTAGTATTGTAAACAATTTTTTGAACAGAGAATATATTATTTTTAAATATATACATATTATATATTAAAAACATC